CATCGAGTGGCCCGATAGGATAGAACCACTATCCTAAAGGTCTGGCCCTTTGCGTTCTGAGATTGTAACTCTTTAGAGGAGTAGAAAGCCTCATCTTTCTCCAGTGGGGTGGCTGGTGAATTCAAACTGTTGATGTTGAGATTAGAAGCCCACCTCCACCTGGGCTCCTCCTGGGTTCAGCAAAGAGCATGATAAATAGTTTTAATGAAGGCCATTAAGTTACTAAGATTCATCAACTTCCTTAGATTCCTTTGGGTTCCAAGAAGGGAATAATAAATCATTCCAACGGAGGTCATCAATTGCCAAGGTTCGTTAGCAAGAACAGGTTTGTGAGCTTTCCTTGGCTCTCGCCCACCAGACTCATTTATCCTCGAACCATCTTCTATGTTTGAAAATGTCCACATTCATGTTGCTGTTGCTGGTATTGTTTATTATGGATGTGACTCCCCAACATTTGTTCTCAGAGCACAACGTACATCAAAGGAAAATGATTATTTCTTACCAGTTACGGTCAAAAAGGTCAGAGAGATGAGGAGGTTGATGCCCCAGTTCATGCTAGCAGTTAACGCCATGGCCCGTCCTCTAATCCCACCAGGAAAAATCTCGCTGAGCACCAGCCAGGGCACTGAAAGAAGAGGAAAAGGGGGCAGGGGCAATGTAATGAGTGAACATCCACTGGAATCCTTCAAGCCCCATCGTGACATCCTTGCTTCTGCATGGATGTGAGGCTGGAGAACTGTGGCATTTCCTACCTGGGCAGGATGGAGGAGCCATCTTCTTTCTCTTCACCAATTCCAGCCAAGTGGCAAAGGAATTAGGAGAAGACTTGGGAAAACTTGACAAAGGCCCCAAGGAGCTGGGAAGGACAAAATGCGATGTCTGCAAATGGGAGGGGCAGAGCCTGGAGCTACCTGTCTGGCAACAAGAGAGCTGGCTTTGGACATCCGCCAAGGATTCAGGTCAGATTCCAATAGCAGCTGCTTGGAGACCATGCCCTTTCTCCTCTGCCCTTGGAGTAGTCAGCAATCAGAGCTAATGCACCTGTTGGAAGCCGCGTGAGGAGGCCCCCTGCTGATCTCCCTCCTCTTGCGTGGTGTCCTGGCCCAGGGCCACAGCAAGCTAGCTGGAGAGACTTTGGAGATTCGATAACTCCCAGAGATTTGATTATAGCCCCAGATGAGACATTTGAACTCCTGAAACAAGACTCTTCCTGGCACTCCAATAAATCAGAGGATGTTTTATTCCCGAAGAGAGTGACAGGGTGTGCTGTGGGCCCTGCCTCATGGAGTTAGCGAGGGCAGTCGAGGAGCAAATGAACTTGTCTTCTGCGCACCACCTATCAAACTCAGTTTGCTCGATAAAGCAGTGATCAGTTCTGAGCACTTTATAAACATTGTCTCATGACATGGTCACAAAAGCCCCACCCGGGAGGAACAACCCCGCACCCTCGTTGACAGAAGAGGAAACTGAGGTGGCGGGGAGTGAATAACTTGCTGAAGTCACAGAGCTTGTGAGTGTGTGAGTGGCAGGGGTGACATTGAGCCTTGGCAGTCAGACTTTGGAGTGTGTGCTTTTGAATCACCGTGCGTTCTCAGCAGCAGCTCAATAAACACCGGTTAATGAATAAATGTCCGCAGTGCGCACGCACATTTGAATCTGAGGAACGAAATTCTGGGAAGCTTCCCCAGTCCTGGCTCACGGCCGGAGAATCCCCCTGGTTTCGGGAGGATGACTTTGGTCTACTGACCAGCCTGTGTGAGGCACAAGTCGTTCAAGTGCTTGCCTGCTAACTGAAAGGCTGGCAGTTCAAGTCCACCCAGAGAGAGTTCAAAGGACGGCCTGCAATATGGCACTGAGAACTCCACCCTCGCAAACCCTGTGGGGCGTGCTTCCATTCTGACCCACATGGGGTCTCCATGAGTCAGTCTACTGGACCACAACTGGTACATCCGCCTGTGGACCAGCC